AAACAGAGGATGACACACTGCAAAATTAGAAGCAATGTGCCAACAACAGAGCAAGTAAAAATAGCTAAGATGACATTTCCTGGTTCTGTGCAAAGATTCCACCTAAGACAACAGTGGAGAGTGAGCAAAGGTTATGTGTCAGGATAAGTTCAGTGGTTAGTGTGTGTTCTTTTCTCTGTGTCTGTAGATACATCTGTGTGTTCTTTACCAGGGTGGGATGTTTTGATGTGGTGTTTCAGTCTGTGCTCTGGATAGCTGTGCTGGCAGACAGGACAGGCCAAACTATTCTCCTGGAAAATAACAGCAAGACACTAAGACAAAACCGTGGTAGAACAATGGCAGGTCTAGGGGGTTAATAAAACTTCAAATATGCTACCTCCTGCAAATCCCAGTGTAATTGTTATTGAGACCAGGAGCATCATGCTGTCAACAAATGTGAATTTCTCTCTTCTGTTAACTTGAAAGGTGTATTAGTGGTCTATCAAAAATGAACTCCTTATAATTCTCTGAATCTCGTCCGGCTGGTCACCTGTCCCTGATGCGTCCTCAAATGGGCCTGAAGTTTGTATTTGTCAGGTGTGGTGTATTTTCAGCCAGGACTGGAACAAGGCAGCAGCAAGCCACTGTGCTTCTGGATCTGGTGCCGCATTAAAGAGGTTTTGGTGATGGACGAGTAGCTGCACTTTGAACAGTAATACGAGTGCTCCTTGGTGTGTCTGCGTACGTGGATGTTATAGTGGACTTTGTACCAGAACAATTTACCTGTGCCGTAAGAAAAACATGATTAGAAGAAGCAGGCACAGTTTAATGTTGAGGCCACAGAGGGGAAAGGATACGTAATACATAATAAGATTTAATATAGAGTAAAATGAAGAATGAATAAATTAAATAACAGGGCACAGCAAAACCAGCTGACTCCAGGAGATTTCATCATCTTACCACAGTACTGACATTCCAGGTCCCCATGAATTTTCCTGAGGCGTTGGAAAGTCTCCATGTTAAGCCGAGTCTTCTGAAGAAAAGAAAACACCTGCTGGAATGCACTCTGAGGGCAAACCCCGGACTCCTACCAGCAATAAACAAAGATGGACGCAGGAGAAGATGATTAAAAGTAGACTTCTTCTAAAATGATTTACTTATTTCAGACACATAACGGGGTGAATATGTGAGACAGTCTATTGAAATTATTTTACCTACTGCATTCCTAATATAATAGGATCAAAAAAG